TTGAAATAAAGATACTGTAGTGCTGTGTTCTACAGAGCACCGTACAGCAAAGTACACAAAAGCACAACCATTTGTAGAGGATGCATACACATAACAACGTATGCCAGACACGGGAACTGACTTATGTGATTAGACATGCAAACACACATTTGTAACTTTGAAAATTCTCAACTTGAAGGCTTGTATGTGGTGGACTTACTGTGGAGCTCATGAACATTTATGTCTCCCTCCTTAGTCTTTTAAATCTTACTCTTAGAGTAGCACCTATACATTCTTGTAATTCCCCTCTGTTCTGGTTGTGAAATGAAATCTGGGCTTGTGAGGAGTCAGGAACCTGTGGCATTCCCCCAGAAACCCTAACACAATTGACAGCAGGGAGCAGTCCATGAGGACATCTTTGAAAATGCTGGCATAAATTCATTCCTGTCCTGGGACAAAAACAGCCCAAGGAGATGCACACGATTCATGGAGTTCATCTCCACAAATATTTTGGCAGGTGTTCTTGTGGTGACCGAAGAGGGCCAGAGGGGCAGAGGGGAGTTGCATCCCCAAGGGAGTGGGAGAGAAGGAGAGGGAGCCCGGGAACTGTATCCCCAAGGGATGGGAGAGGGGGAGAAGAGGAGAGAGTCAGGGAGCTGCAGCCCCAAGGGGTGGGAGAATAGGAGAAGGGGAGAAAGTCACAGAGCTGCATCCTCAAGGGGTGGGAGAGGGGGAGAAGGGAAGAGAGTCAGGGAGCTGCATCCCCAAGGGGTAGGAGAGGAGAAGGGGAGAGAGTCATAGAGCGAGTCACTGGGAAGAAACGCCCTCGAGTGAGACTCCACAAAAGTCACTGCTGTTCCCAGAGCTGCCTGGTCGTCCTTCTGGGCAGTGGTCCCCAAAGTCAGCACAGTGACATCATCTCAGTAGACACTGTGAAAGTAGGCTGGTGACTGAGGAAGGTGCTACACTTCAGGAGGGACACACAGGGGCCATCACTTCTGGGAAACCGAGGTGCCATTGGTGGGGTAGGGTGTGAGTGGATGGCAGGGCGTGGTGATGCTTTCTCCTTCCTTTCTGGTCCTAGTTTTGGCATCGTTGACTACGAGGAGATCTTTTCACAGGGTCAAATCACAGCTTGTCATCTTTTACAGGTTGCTATAAAGGATCGTAGTGCTTTGAAGTCTGGAAAATGCGTTTTGTTAGGACAACAGCTTGACTGATCCACTCTCACCTGCACCAGCCCCTGCCTTGCTGGGTCGCCCAAGCTGGGAGGGGCAGTGGGGAGAAGAGAAGGGGGAGGGTTGACATAGTTTCTGCCCTCAGGGCTCATAGAGGCTTACTGAGAAATGTGAGCGATGAGCATAAGATATTTAGTGGCTAACACTCGTACACCATCGAGAGGGTGTGGGGCAGGGAACCCCTAGAGCTCCAGCTGACTACAGACCTAAGTTCCAGGGCCAGAGGAACATCTGAATGGCCCACAGAAGGAATGCAGATGGTGGGAAATGATCAGACCAGGAACTGGTTCAAAAACCAAAAAATAAAAAATAAAAAGGGAGGAAAAGAGAAACTAAATGGAACCTATAGACTAGAAGATTTTTTTTTTTTGAGAATTTTAGATTTTAGTTTTATTATTTATGAAATAAAGCAAGAGGACTAATGAGTTGACAGCTACAATAATGCCTTACCCCACCCCCCCACCCCCACAATTCCATCACACATCTCTGCAATCATTCCCTTATGTGACTAGAAGATTTTTAAAGAGACCAATCAACCCATTGCCACATAGGCCCCTTTCTGGATCCTGATTAAAAAAAATAAAAAGCTGCTAAAAAGAGATTGTGAGCCCTCAGGGGAATTTGGATATTGACTAGATAGGCATTTGGAAATATTGAAGAGTTATTCTTTTTTAAGTGTTTGATAATGTATTGTAGTTATGTTTCAAAAACTAAGTTCTTATTTTTCAGTGTAGATCTCTCAGAGCTAAATACAGGGATATTTACAGCTGCAATTCCATGATGCTGGGATTTGTTTCAACCTATCCCAAGGGGTGGGCACAGATGGAAGAAGGTTGGCTGTGGACTGGTAGGTCTTGAAAATGGGTGACAGGTGTTTGGGATTCACCTTTGTATATGATTGGCATTTCCCATAATTATACCATTGAACAGCTGTTGGAGGCAGAGAACGAGTGCTTAATGGGGAGAGTGGGCAGAAGATTCTTCAGAGAGAAAGCGGGCCCGGGGGCCAGAGCCCTGCAGGAAGGTGTGGTGAGGGCTGGTGGACAGGGCCGGGCTTTGGGGGCCCAAACACCATGTTTGGAGTATCATTCTGACATGCTCAAGAAACACTGAACTACTGATCCCAGGTACCCCAGCAGAAAAAAACAAGAATGCTTTGCTTCTGTGGTCATGAAGAGGAACCCCAATTCTACCTACCAAACTCCTTTAGATAAGTAGAGATAAATTTAACACCTGGATACTATAGGGTTTGCCAACTGATGCAAAATGAAGAGGAACCCCAATTCTACCTACCAAACTCCTTTAAATAAGTAGAGATAAATTTAACATTTGGGTACCATAGGGTTTGCCAACTGACGCAAAATGTTAGCCTCTTCCATTGCCATAAAAATAATATTTCATCCAACTACCAGTTTGTCTCTCTGGATAAATGTGTCTATAAAAGCAATTTGGTTAACATTTCCATCCCAAACAGAACCATTGAGACATGGACAAGGTACCAGGACAGCAGGTGCTGAGGAAATGATTTGTCACCATGTGACTCCTGCAAAGACTCATAGTTATTTATCTGCCCCCTTAACTGACTGCCTGATGACTCAGAGAGCTATTACTTGCTATTCTATGAAGATTTCTCTACCCCCACGCCTGGCCTACAGCAACTGCTCTCAGGCAAGCAGAAGCAATGTGTGAATTGGGACAGATATTTTACACACACACACACACACACACACACACACACACACACACACACACACACACGACTTTCAAATTTTGCCCATAACACCACTGTCTGCTGGAAGTCACTCTAGAGACATCCTAAAAAGGTGTAGGTGTCTTCCAGGGATCCGAAGCCTCCATCAGTATACTCAGTGATGGGATTCAGAGATAGCCATGGAAATTACATAACATAGAGAATTTCATAGTATGCCACCTCTACCAATCCACAGTCTTTGTTTATGCCATTGGTAAATTCATTTAATCTACACTGCAGAGAAACAGACCCATTTTCATAAGCAGACTTGTTGTTATGAGGCTTAAAGACATGATTGTTAGGTATGGGAAGTGAACTGATTAAAGCCACGGGCCCATTTCCATCAGGCCAAAGCATCAGCTTTCAAATGAAAAAACATTAACGCAGGTTTATGTATGAGGAGGGACCCCAAAACCCCAGAATTTGTTTATTAAAATATTGTGTACCTATTCTTACATGTTTAAACTTCAGTCACCTTCAGAGTACTCTCCAGCTGATGCAATATACCTATTGAGAGGTTTTTTCCTCTGCCCAAAAGTTTTTGACCTCGTCCATTTTGATGCTAAACTTTTAGTGCTTCTGCCATTTTTGTTTCACCTCTTCCACGTTGGCAAAATATTTCCCTTTGAGGACTTTTTTCATCCGGGGAAACAAAAGACAGTTGCTCAGGTGAGACGAATGGGGAGGGTGGGGCATGGGGGTCATGCTGTTTTGGGTAAAAAAATACTGAATGCTTAGCATGACATGGGCAAGTTACATTGTTATGATGGAAGAACCAGTCACCTGTTTGCCGCAGAAAGAATCACTGAAGCTGAACGCAGCCTCTCACAACAATGCTCACTGATACACTGATGCCAATGGCTTCCTAGAACACCCACCTTCCAATGAATAATTCTTTTTTAGGGTGGTGCCTCCTTGCATTTTTGTTGCTGTTGCTATCTTCTGCAGCCTTAACAGCATTAAAAAAATGGGTCACTGACTTTAGAGTGATGGTTCAAAGGAGGAATTAAGATGCCTCAAGGGCCTTCCTAGAGTGGGCCAACATCATGTGTGACATTTTCCTGTCAGTACTGGGGTGTGACCCTGTGTACTATTCACGAAATCAAGACACGTATTCAGCCTGTGTACCTGTCCATGAACGAATAAAGAAAGTGTGGAATACATACACCGTAGAATATTATTCAGCCTTAAAAAGAAGGAAATTCTGTCATTTGTGCAACGCGGGAAAACCTGGAGGACATATGTTGAGTTAAATAAGCCAGGCTCAGAAAGACAGATACTGTGTGGGACCTATAAAATTTGAACTCATAGGATCAAAGAGCAGAGCGATGGCTGCTAGGGGCTGGGATGGGAGGAACTGAGGAGATGTGGGCCTAAGGACAACATTTTAGTGAGACAGGAGAAGTAAGTTCAAGAGATCTCTTGGACATCATGGGAACTACAGTTAATAATGTATCACTTACCTGAAAATCGCTAAGAGAGCAGATTTTAAGTGTTCTCACCACAGAAGATAAGTGTGTGAGATAAGCATATTTTAATGAATTCAGGTTAGCCATTCCACAAATGTGAGCATTTCTTTTCTTTTTTTTAATTTGGGGTTTCATCCTGTAATCCAGGCTGGAGTGCAGTGGCACAATCATGGCTCACCGCAGCCTTGACCTCCTGGGCTCAGGCGACCCTTCTGTTTCAGCCTTCCGAGTAGCTGGGACTACAGGCATGTGCCACCACACCCGGCTAATTTTTAAAATTTTTTGTAGAGATGAAATTTTCGCTATGTTGCCCAGGCTGGTCTCAAATTCCTGGGTTCGAGCAATCCTCCTGCCTTGGCCTCCCAAAGTGTCGGGATTATAGCTGTGAGCCATTTTTTTCATTGTGCCCAGCCGAATGTGTGCATTGCAAAGCATCCCATAACATACACCACCAATTTATACCTTCCTTATTGGTCAATCCTATAATAATAACGCCTAAGCCCCCCGTGCTGAGAGGGTGACCAGGGACTCCCTACCTGGAGATAGTGACCAGGGACTCCCTACCTGGAGGTAGTGGCACGGCCTCAAGGAAGGCTTGAGGTCCTGGTGCATCAGGGGCTTGTCCAGGTTCAGCGAGCTCTTGCGGTAGGCCTCCTTGGCCTGGCTGACCGTGAGCGTGGACCAGGAGCTGCGCTTCATATACTTGGCATCGGGTGTCAGAGCCAAGCCCTCGCAGGCCGAGCACTTGACATCATTGTTGCTTTTGGAAGTCTTCAGGGAGAGGTCCCCGAAGGGGCTCTGCAGCGCGTCGGGGTAGCAGTGGGCGAGGGGGTCCATGTGGTGCCTGTTCAGCACGCCGGGTGTGCGGTAGGTGCTGTCACTGTCCAGGTTGTCATCCGAGCTCCACCAGCTGCTCATGCCCGACCTGTGCTTGCTTTCTGGCTTGCGCTCCTTGCTCTTGCTCCTCTTGCCATGCTTGGCATGGTGACCATGATGGTGGTCATCTGCCCGGCCTTCCCCCTTGGTCCCGTTGACATTGCTCTTGGAGGAGCCCTCCAGTGAGTGTGACTTGGTGAACAGCTTCTGCACGGAGTGGACCAGGTGCCGGATCCTCCCAGGGCTCTCACTGCGCTGTTCTGCCGTGGTCGATGCCCGCTGGTACTGCAGAGTGTGGAACCCATCCCTGTGCCTGGGAAGCTGCTTCTCAAACTGGTCCAGGAGATTGGCCGGGATGCGGTTGATCTTGGTGCCTGCATGGGCCGTGGCACAGTCGTCGCGCGTGTCATAGTGCGAGCTGTAGTGCATGCGGGGGAAGGTGCTGCTGGACACGTGGTCGCCCAGCATCACTGGCATGACCATGCACTCCGAGTGCACAGAGCTGCGTGGCGAGCAGCGGTGGTGCTCCACCGGGCAGCCATCGGGTGGGCTGAGCAGGTAGGACGGCCGCACCTCCTGCCCATGGTGGAGGTGGTCGTGCGTGTGGTCGCAGTCCTCGGGGGGTGGCAGGCCGCACGTGTGCGCGGAGCACAGCTGAGGCTGGGTCCGGCTGGTGGAGAGTCCTTTCATATTCCTAGGGGCAGGCGAGTACCTCTCCTCATTGAAGTGTTGCGTCGGTGACCATGAGTACTGCTGGTCTGTGGGAAACAGAGAGACGGCATTGAATACCAGGTCCATGGCAGGAGGCCCCAGGGACTGAGGAAACGGAACATGTGACACCCCCTCCTCACCGAGAATATCTTAATTCCTGTAGTCAGTGTCCATTTTTGGACAGGGCATCCAGTAAGACAGCCATGACTTTAGAGCTCATTGCTCCAAAGAATGAGGCTATAAGAAGAGGAAGTACTGTTGTTCCCAAATGATGTAACACAATGACAAGTATTTAATGTCTATTTGGTTCATCAGGGCTCTTGACAGCTAGATGTATGGCATTAAATAAATAAATGATTTCGGGGAATATTAGTTTTGTAGATCAGCTTAAGAAATTTGAAAAATAGCATCCTGGTACCTCATGAGCAACATTGTCTACAAAACTCATGTGTCGCACACGTATGTATCAATCACAATTTGCATTCCCACTGGCAGATGAAACATGAGGTGGCTTTCCTGAGGTTACCTGTCAGCTGAGGTTGGGCATGCACCTTCCCATGAGAGCAAGGCTGCATCCTTTCCTACCCGGCTCCTGCCTGTGGCCCGCTGTTGATGTGGACGAGCTTTCCCTGATCGGCAGAAGGATAGCACTGGCGGTGATGACATGGCATGGCCTGATTTATGGCAACTGAGTGACTGGGAGCAGGCACCTCACTCTCCCGTCCTCCCAGGAAAGCGACCAGGTATCAAGTGTCCCTGGAGAAGAAGGTCCTGGGGATCCCCACCCCTGCCTGCACTCTATCTCTACTGATTCTCTTGCTCATCTTCCTACTCCTGCCCTGCCTTTCATGAGGCAGCCCAGCCTTCACTCCTTTATCCCGAGGCCTGTCCATGGCTCAGACCCTTGTTATCTGTTGCCAGGACCATTGAGATGGCCCCCAATGGCTCTCCCTGCATCCCCTTATTCCCCACTGGTGAGGCTGCCCTCCTAAATGCACTCCAGTCCATCCACCAGCTTAGCAAGTGAGCCCTGGCTCCTCTGTCTGCCACTGAAGTGAATGCTACGAGGCAAGGTCACCTGCCTTGTGTCCCATGTGCCACCCCGGGGGCAGGCCCAGGCCCAGGCCAGGTGCTAGGCTCTGTGATGACCAGAAGAGCTGGCCCAGGCCCCTCTCAGTCTTGCTGTGCACACTGCCTGTCACACTGCTGTGCTCTGTCAAGTTGAGCTACCTGCCATTTCTAACCCTGCAAACTCTGCCCACGGTGTCCCTCAGCCTAGGGTTCTTCCCTATGCCCACTCCAAGACTCAGTGCCACACAGGGCAACTCTGCTGTATCTTTCCTGAGGCTGAGGACAAGACAGGAAAGAGCAGTGGTCACTTCATTGGGAAGAAAAGTATCAGCTCTGTGCCTGTCCACAGTCCTTCTCCAGGCCACCTTCATGCCTTGGTTCGGATCATGGAACTGACTCCTTCTGTCAGCTTCTCTAGCACCATGGATGTCTCTCCTGTTTATGCATCACTCACCTCTATCACCAAGCTGAGATGCGTGACCTGCAGTCCTGGGGATCAGGCACCAGAAATTCATAGGGCTCTCTGCTCTGACCCCTCCAAGAAACATACAGAGGGATGAGAGAGAGAGAGATCGAGAGAGAGAGAGAGAGATCAAGAGAGAGAGAGAGAGAGAGAGAGAGAGAGAGAGAGCGAGAGAGAGAGAGAGAGAGAGAGAGAGAGAGAGAGAGAGAGAGAGAGAGAGAGAGCGCTAAGAGAAGCTCAGTTTCCCCACCACGTCAACCCTGCCTCCTCTCCAGGAAAGTGTAAGGACACCATCACCTGCCCAGACATCCACTCCATGGCTAGTTGAAGGTGTGGAATCAAAGCGACCCCAAATGCAAGGCCCAGGACCACTTGTTGTCCAGGCCAGCACAGGCATGGAAGAGTGGGATAAAGAAGGGACACAACTGCACAAATCTCCAAGAAATTAGGGCAGACTTGTCCTACCAAGGAGTGACCACTGGAAGAGAAGGTAGGTATTTCCTGAGAAATCAAGACTGGATATTGGGCTGCTTTGCCCACAAAGGTAACCAAGGGACCCCTCCTGCATCTTCTCACAGCAAACATCCTCCAATTCAAGAATGAGAGATCTTTTACCTCCAAAGAGCTTCACTTTACGACATGCTTGGGTGCTTATTCCATCTCACAGGAGGGACCAGGCTGCAACAGTTTCACAGTGCATTCCTTTCTTGGGTAGTCAAATTACAACTAACGCACTTTAATATATTGGGAGAATATTGATATTATATTTAATATAATTAAAAGCAAATTTTCAAATGAAATTCAACATTCAACTGATAAGCAGCAAAGCTATGCCTGTAATCCAGACTTTACAGCAGCATAAAGTTGTCACCCTATTATCTTTTGCTTTGTTTTTCCATTAACATGTAATTTAATACAATTCTAATCTTCCTTCATATTAAAGAGTAAGGCCATTATTGCTCCACTCACGTATCCTGTTTCTGTCTAATGTTTAGCCCAGAAGCTACATTGTGAATGCGGCCACATAAAAGAACAGTATAAAAGATAAAATTTTAACTGGAATGAATTAACTTTGATTATGCCACATGTTGATAACACATTCTCATTTTTGCTGTATGGGATTGAAGCTCCTGGTATACGCATGGAAACATATATTACTTCTTAAAATAATATCATAATAGCAGCATATGAGATAACGTACTGTAAATAATGGCAGTGCTAAAAAGTACAACATGCTCTTATATTCTTTTTTCTTTTTTTAATAAGTCTGTTCACCATATAATAAATACTTAGGGACTGGTAATTTCTCTGTGAAAATGAAGTAGCAAACACAAAATGTGGAAAGCATCTTCGTTTCCTAATTTCCAGCTATTCCCGACACAATTTTTGTCATTAAGCAAGAGAAAACAGCAATTATAGTCATTATTCATTAACATATAACTGTCTTCCCAAATTCAAAATAGAATGCTTACTATTGATTCATGAGATTGTTGGCCTACCTGTCCCTAAAAGTTGATTGGGAGTGTAGGTATGAAAATGTTAAAAACACAGTCAACATTTATGGGGTGCACTTCGTGGTCTGGGGCGGTGCCATGGGCTCTACTTGGGTCTCCTCCCACTATCCTGGTGACCTTTAAGCTAGCAACGCTTACCCCAGTGGCAGCTGAGGGAACTGAGGCTGGACAAGTAGACAGGGCTGTTGACAGAGAAGGTGGTAGGATGGGCCCCATGTTCTTTTCTGGCTAAATCCAGCAATAGTTCTACTCTTAGCACTGACCCGAGGCACCAGCTGGCCATACACTGAGGGATGGTCCAGCCCAGGCTCCGGGGACAGCATGCAGCCCCCACCTGTGGGGCAGTCTGTGTCAGAACAGAGGAAAAGGCGGTCTGCTGGAGTCCTCCAGGCCCTACCCTGGCTGCCAGCACTTGGGGGCCATTCCCCACTGAGAACACCAGTTCCTTCTCTCCCTGCATGAAATTCACTTGACCTAGTGCTTTCTGCCTGCATTTCTTCTGCTTATAAAGGTAGTGAGAGACCTTCACATGTGTCCTTTGCTCCTCTCTAAAAGGAACTGCCCTGCTAATGGTGGAAGTCAGAGGAACTTAAAAGTGAAAAACAGAGTAGATGGAGACAAAACAAGACAATAGAAGTTTTATAGAGTGGACCATGGCATGATTTATTAAATAAGAATGACACATTATATCACACTGTAGTTCCCTAAATTAGCTTCCTCATACATTGCAGTTGGATTTGTGGAGAGCTGAGACAGCCCTTGTGGACTGTAATCACAGTGTCTCCCTCTGGGCCACTTGGCACTTTCACCCACTCCATGTCGCTTCCTTCCATCCTGCTTCTCTTAAAGACCCTTGGACCTGGAGCCCACCGTGCAATGTCAGGACCTTGCTACCCAAATGCAAGCCAGGGAACATAGCAGGAAACAGTGTTTGAGCCTGTTTCTGTATTACTGTGTGGTGGTATGAAAGACGTGGTCCACCATGTGTCAAAAGGAGCTTATTTGAAGCCCATTTAAGAAAAGTTCCCTTAAAATTTTAACAAAAATGTATAAGATTTGTATTTGGCAGCTATAAAACATTGTTAACAAAAATCTGCGATAATTTAAATTAATGAAAAGGCACCCCTTTTCATAGACTGGAAGATTTAATGTGGTTAGAATGGAAATATTTCCCAAATACATCTATAGATTTTATACAATCCCTATCAAATCCCAGTGGGCTATTTTGTAGAAATTCAAAAGCTGATCTTAAAATTCATATGGATAGAAAAAATAAAAATAAAAAACCCCCAAAGCTAGCAGAAGGAAAGAAATAATGAATATTAAAGCAGAAATAACTAAAATAGAGAAAAGAAATAAGGGAATCCATGAAATAAAAACTTAATTTTATTTTAAAAAATCGACAAAATTGACAAACCTTTAGTTTAGACTGAAAAGAAAAAGAGAAAAGACTCAAATTACTAAAATCAGAACTAAAAGTGATGGATTACTAGTGTTCTAAATAAAAATAATTTTAAGAAAATACAATTATATGACTGCAAATTAGATAATATAGATGAAATGAATAAATTCATAAAAACACACAAATTACTTCAAGAAGAAACAGAAAACCTCAACAGGCCAGCAATAAGCAGAGATTGAATCAATGATAATAATTTTAAAAACCTAACAAAGAAAATATAGGACCAGATGGTCTTACAAGTGAATTCTACCAAACGTTTGAAGAATTAACACTAATCCTTCTTAAAGTCTTTCAGAAATAAAAGAGGAATGTCAAGCCCATTTAGTAATTCTATCAGTGTCAGAATTACCTTGATATCAAAACCAGGTAAAGACATTACAAGAAAAATTTTCTTGTAATGTCTTTATCTGGTTTTGATATCAAGGTAATTCTGACCAATATCTCTTATGAGCAGAGATGGAAAAATCAAAACCAATATCTCTTA